GAGATGCAGAAAAAACCTGGCATGGGCAGCACGACAGAGAGAGGAGGAAAACACAGGGGCAGGGAGCCGAACCGAGAGGGATGGAGAGAGACAAAAAGTGACAAAGAACAGGGCAGAGAGGGAGCGATGAAACAACAGGGGCAGGGAGCCAGGGCAGCAAACAATGGAGGGAAGAGGTGGGATGGGGAACAACACAAAACAAACCCCATCGCTACACCTTACAGGGCAGGGAGGGAAGAATTAAGTAACAGAGGCAGGGACCAAGAAAAAAAGAGAACCGAAGAGGAAAAAGAATAGCCCTGTGTCCAGAAAGAAGAGGTGGGGAATTCTAAAACAGGGTCATCGAGGAGCCAGAGACAGCAAGATGGAGAAAGGACAAAAGCCACAGGCTACAAGGTGGAGAGGCACAAATGAATGAACGGGACATGCCCTGTGCCCCAGGAATACAGCTCCCGCATGTCCCGAGGTGCAGCCAGCTCTGCCTCCTGACCCTGCGGGGACACTGTTTCCCCCCACCTCGAACAGTGCACCCGGAAACCCGAGCCCCAGCACAGCCCCGTGCTCCCCAGCACGGCTCCGGGCAGTATTTGGCTCTTGCCAAAATACGAACTTGATGAGGAAAAGCCAAAGGTGATGCAGACTGAGCTATTAAAAACTCAGTACAGAAGGAACCACTACTTCTGCCAGCAGGACAGTTCTGCCAGGTCAGTCCAACCTGAGTACAGGGTTCCAGTGCCTCACAGCCCCACATAGCAGACAGCTCCCTTGTCTGGGACCATATTTTGCATGGTGCAAACAAGAGACGGAAGGGGAGCAGGACAATGGTGTAGGGAGAGTGGAGAGACTGCACAAAAAAACAGGGACAGAGAGATGGCAGAATAAATGAGAAACAAGGAGCAGGAGAGAGAAGCAGAAGGGACCAGCAGGACAAGACAGAGACTAGTCAAGGTTTGGGCAAAAACACTAACATCACAGGGGAAAAGAAATAGAGGCAAGAAAAAACAGATAGAGACAAAGGCAAGAAAGAAAAACAGGCAAAAAAATCAGACAGAAACAGGGAGCTGGACAGAGGTAGATGCAGAAAGAAAGTCTCAAAAAGCGACAGAGTGCAAGAAACACAGACAAGAACTAACAAATAGGGAGAGGGAGATAGAAAGCAGGAGATCTAGAAAGAAAGTGTAAGAAGCGACAGGGTACAGGACTGAGAGGGAAGAATTAGGAATTACTGACAGGGAGATGGATAGAGGGAGATGTAGAAAGAAAATTTCTAAAGCAACAGGGTGCAAGAATCATAGACAAGAACTGAAAAAATAGGTACACAGAGCTGCACAGAGGGAGACGTAGTAATAAAAATCTGAAAAGTGATGGGGTACAAGAAACATAGGCAAAAAAAAAAAATAAGTCAGGGAGACAGCAAGAAAATTTAAAAAGTGACTAGGTTCCAGAAACATATGCAAGAATTAACAACAAAAAAAAAAAAATAGGGATGGAGAGACGAAAGACGGTTTCAAGAGCAAGGGGGCAAGAATTAAAAAATAGGGACAGGGAACCAGATAGAAGGAAACTGTGGTGGGTTGACCTTGGCTGGCTGCCAGGTGCTCACCAAACTGCTCTATCACTCCCCTTCCTCAACAAGACAGGGGAGAAAATACAACAAAGCAGCTTTAGGTTGAGATAAGGACAAGGAGGTTTCTCACCAATTACTGTCACAGGCAAAACAGACAACTTGGGAAAAATAATTTAATTAAAAATGCATCTGCAGCCATGGCCCCTGATGTAACCTGCTACCCTGGACTCTCACAGCAGACCCTGCTGCCAGATTCCCACTGAGAAATCTCTCTAGTTGAGGCCATGGCATTGTGTGGAGGGAAAGAAAACAAAGATTCCATAGTTCAGAATGTTAAACAGCAAGTGAACACATGTGCCTGTGGTACCTGCCAGGAAAATAAGTATTAGCCAGTCTCCAACTCCTTGTCTACATTCCATGTAAGCACTCATCTACAGAAACACCTTTGTTTTATGTTACCTACAGATATATGCAGCCAGTACACAGCCATGCATACTTTGGTTCTCAGTCAAATCAAGCCAGATTCTTTCTATTACTTTCCCTCCTGGGAACTTTCTTTACTCAGGATTTTCCTCGGAGGCATCTGTATTTTGTCTATATAATGCAATTCAGATGCATTTGCCATGCGTCCATATGGGTGGGCATAGAAAAAAGTCTCACATTAGAATGGTGAAATGAAGTCTCCTGCTAATAACCATCACACATTTGTAAAATACTAAAATATATTTAATTAAAACCAAAACATCAAACACTAGATTAATGAAGTTTCATGCAGCAGAGATTTCACTTGTATCCTGGCTGCAGCAGACACCTGCCTGAACAAGGTGAATAGAATGCTCTTTTGGAGACCAGTAAGTACTCTAGATGCTAATGCTGTCAGACTGCAGAATCTAAGCTCTCAACAGGCACATCTAAAGAATTTGGAGCAAAAGAAAGTGCTGCCTGGTTCCTTCAGCTTCAGCAAGTCACAGTGGCAGATGGCCAAACATGCAGCCAGTTAGATACGAGACCTTCAACTCATATGACCGACAGTTAGTGCGGGAATAAAGAGATATCAAAGGAAGCTGTTCACAGAGAGAGGACTTCATGCATGGTTCCATGCAAGTTTTTTTATGCTGTTCCTTTACTCTTAACTCCATTACAAGGGATTCCAAACCATCTGTTTCTGAAGTTCTCAATCATTCGGGTTGCCTCTTCTCTGGTATTTCATCCGTGTCTCTTGCATAAAGTTTCTGAACGCCGGTTCTTCATGACTCTCCTCAGTAACTGGGGGTAAAAAAAAAAAAAATCCACAGGTCAGCACTATTTCAGCACTTGTTCTACTTGTGTTACTGAAGAAAGCTAGGGTCAGGCTAATCAGAGCAACACAAAGTCTATTTGATCTTCGACTTCATTACAAGGCTAAAGAAACAAGTGATCCTAAAAATCAATGGAACAGGGAAAGAATGAAGACTAAATCTGTGAGTTATATAAGAGAATTATTACACACTGTAAGAACTTAAAAGAATGCTCCCCAGGAGTCACAGGAAAAGGGAAGAGAGCCAGGGGCAGCAACTGTAAGACCAAAAATAAACAAGTGATCCTAAAAATCAACATATTAATCAGGTTCAGAGGTGACTGCATGCTCTGAGCATGGCTTATGCAGGTTATACACCTATCAAAAATAAGTACTTTAACAGAAAATTTACAACTGAATTTTCACAAAAGTTAGAGAGCGATATCACTGGACTAAGCATTGCAGCTGGGCTTCTGCTGCAGATTCAGACACCTATGTTTAGGTGACTGAATGTTTGCTTCTTTTCTAGGCTCATTACAGTCAATCCAGTTAATGAAATACAGACTAGACAGGCAGCTTTGAGACAAGATCAGATCCCTCATTCCTTTACCTTCATGGTCAATGTCATCAGTATCACTTTCCCTCTCTTCTTCTTCTTCTTCATCGAGAGTTCCTCGTGTTAGGATCAGCTCAGAGGGACCCATCGCAGAAGCGTCATCTGACCGTTGAAGGGAACAGAAATGATTATACACAAAACAGCAAGCCAACAAGCAAGTTAGCCCATGCCCTTACAATTTTCATTTGCACATAAACACAGCAATTAATACCTACTCTAAAGGGACAGAAAGCTGCTTCTGGATTCCAAAGATACGGGACAGACTGCATCACCACCATACTCAACCTCATATAAGGCAAGAGTTCAACCAACAGCAGAGCTTTTTCCTATTCCAAATTGACAGTTTCAGCTTTTCCAAAGTATTTCATTAGTTCTAGTAGTTCTAGTACATCCACTGCTTTACCTATACAGCAGTGTTTCTTCTCATGTCTGTGACTGACACATGGAAGAGCCAAGTCTGACCTATCCCACAGGAACTAAAGCCCCACTCCTCTTTACTAACGTGATGCTGCTTTCATGCTTTTGCTGTGAAGACAGAAAAGCACTATGTGACTTCTCAAGGTAGACTCTTCAGACAACTTCTGCAGCAAATTTAATTTTCCCAGTAAGGTACCTGCAAGCATGTTGCCCTGCACACACACGCTGCCCATGTCCTTCCACAAGTGTTCCAGCTGCTCTCTTTTTTGTTTATTTTGAGCTTTCTCCTGTAAGTACAAAATTACATGTGGATTCTGAGTACATTTAAAACATCAGTATAAAAGTAATCTCACCCAATACTAGCAGTCTGTCCCCCAGTCAGAAGGCAGAAGTTGGTAAGCAGGTTTTACATTACAACTAAGCTAACACAGAACTTTTGGATAAACATGGAAAGCAACCTCCAGCATGATGGACTTCAAGAACATTATCAGCAGCATCAGGAAGCCAACCTCAGTGAAGTTGTGCCTCCAGAGAACTGCCCTTTGGACAACCAGAGCTCAAGGTGAGCAGAGCTACTGATTTGGTACTGCAATTCAGTCTTCATTATTAATTGTCTACATCAAAACAGTACACTTCACTGGTGTGGAAAAATACAGTGATATTCTCAACAAATGACTTTGGAAAGTTATTTTTTAAAGAGTCTCTATCCTTCTGAATGGGAGATATAAAAATCTTTCCCAATCTTTTTCCCAATAATTTTCTCACAATTTGCCCAAATTAATTACTAGCACTAAAACACTGAGCAGTATCTGTTTTACAGAACTTCTGTATTTTTGTGAAAATATGTTCCACCAAATCTAGGAAAAAAAGACAGACAGTGAGCTTCAGGACGGGAGTTTTTTTCCACACTGAGTATGATTAGAAATAAAATGTTAGACCTTCCCAATATAGAGGCAATTGTGTGCATAAAAGTGACCCCAAGATATACTACCCAGGTATACAATAGTTAAAAATACTTACCAGTGTTTTCCTCAGGCGCTCATATTCTGGACGATATTCTCTGAAAAGATAAATCGAGTGCACTCAGTCTCAACTAATACGTGATTTATATTAAGTAAGGATCATCTTGGAGGCTTGTTTCTTCCCCATAAATGTTTTCTCTAGACTTTCACGTCTGAGAGACATTTCAGAAAGACTAACGGTACTTTTTACACAGATTTGGATTCTGAAACCAAATGGCGGCAAAACAAATTAACATACTTGATTAAAATAGCAAACCTTTCTCACATCGTCTCCTGAAAAGTGAACAGTCCTTCAAATCAAAGGATTGGGCTCAAGAATCAGTAACTTCAGTAAGTATTCACTGGGCCAGGGCCCAAAGGTTATCACCTTACCTCTCATATTCATCTACAGCTTTTGAAAGCTGAACAAAAAAATCATCCAGTCCTGTGCCGACCACAGCAGAAACACCAACCACCTATAAAAGAAAACATACACCAGAAATGAAGAGTAACTGAACCAAGTCTTCAGTGGACTGATAGATGACCAGAGCTGAAAAAACTAAGAAGTATCTTTAAAAACAAATAAGAACAACAACAAAAAAATTAAACTAAAAAAAATTTAGAGGACTCTAATGATACCCATTGAATCATCACAGTGGTTTAAGAGTACGCAGTAACACTTCTGTTTCTCTTATTCCTACTTTCAACCTCTTTCTCCACCCACTGTTAATGTTTGCTGCCTCTGGTTTTTGGTTGGTTTGGTGTCTTGGTTTTTGGTGGTTTGTTTTGGGGTTTTTCCCCCCCCCTTTCTCTCTTATTTAATTCAGGAATCTGGGTTTTCCTATCTGTTTTACAAATTTTACCACAGTGGAGGCAGGCAAAGCGACAGTTAAAAAACCAAACAAACAAACAAACAAAAAAAAAAACCTGACTCTACACCCATCCTTGTACCTCCAGTCTCAATACCCCACAAAAAACATAGTTAAGATGATACAATGCCTAAACATCATGAACAACATAGGGCAATTCAAAAGAAAGATCAAGTCTTTCTTCTGTTTACTTGGTTATTGTTAATAAAACTAGTTGTCCTTCTGAACCTAGTATTGTAAGCGGTTAGTATGACTGCAGCAATATTAGTGTATTAGCATTAAAGAGCAAAATAGACCACAAGAACTGACCTTTTGCCTCTGAAGTTCTCTCTAATACTTCGTATTTACATGAAGCACATTTTAAAATGTACCCAATCCAACCGCAACCCCCAGAACAGCGAGAGATGCAGAATTTAATCAGTTATTATGGCAATACATTCAAAATGCACGTCTGCTTTCTAATTTGAACTTGTCTGTCATTACACTTCCAGCCATTTGTTCTTTTATTAAATCAATTATCCAAAAATACCTTTAATTAAGACTAATCCTAGCAAGTACTTGGTGACCCTTAAGAATCTCACATCCTTGGATGAAAATTCTCCCTCTTTTTCATAAGCAAGGCAGTCTTAACTACTCAGCTTCAAATGTAAGCCTTTTTCCAACACAGCCTTGCATTTTATCAATAGTACAGTAAATATGCAATCAAGGATTCCAAAGGATTTTAAGCATTAGTTTAGGCACTGTGCCAATATATATCAATATTTATACTATCATTGCACTTAAGTACAAGCTGCTTTCTACTCTATAATCCTCTGCATACGTCCTGCTCTCCAGTCTACTATTCCCATAGATACGACATGAATAGAAACAGCTGATTAGCAAAAAAGGACTAGGAATTGCTTTAGTCCTGTACATGGCACCACTACAATTTGTTTTGAAATACTGTATATGGTTCCACATAGGACACTTATAATATTTTGTTTTGGCTAAATTATCATTATCTATATGAACTGAATAACTTACTTATTTTTATTGCCTTTCTTGTAATATCCATAAAGCCCTTTGCTTGCCCTTTTTTTTTCTTTAAGTAGTTAAAGCTGATGAAAAACACAATTAGCTGAACCCTTTTAGCACAGCCTATGGGATCATTAACACCTTTCAGTGTATAATGTTTTCAGAGAAACTGAATGGATTTGTCCTCTCAAAACCTAGTAAGCGGGGGGAAAAAAACCCACTTTTTCTTGCATCAGCAAATATGCAGGATTTTTTGTTTGGTTTTGAGATTCTTTCCCTTCTTCCTACATAGTAAACTGCCCAACTGTGCTTGACACTTTCAGAACACGGAAAATTATCTCAGAGGGGAGTCACTGCTACACACAACATTACCTCTTCCCAGCCTATCTTAGCTTTCTTATGATGATTAATCACAATTTAGTATTAAATGATTCAGGCTGCCACTCAGTATGACAAGCAACTAAAGTTACTTTATGTTCAAACCAGCAAATCCCCACTCCCATTGCAAGGCTCATCAACAGATTCCAGTTCAAAGGGGCAGTGCAAAGCCCTTTTACAGAAGGACAGAATGGTTGAGGTTGGAAGATACTTCTGGAGATCATCTAGCCCAACCTCTCCTGCTCAAAAAAGCAGGATTAACTACAACAGGTGGCTCCAGATCTTGTCTGAGTGTGTTCTGAGTACCTCCAAGAATGGAGACTCCACAATTTCTCTGGACCATCTGTTCCAGTGCTCAGTCACTAAAATTACAGTAATTAATTCTTCCTCTTCTGTTTAAGCATAGTTTCCTGTATTTCACTCTATGTCTATTGCCTCCTCTCTTTTCACTGGGCACCACTGAAAAGAGCCTGCCTCTGTCTTCCTCACAATCTCCCATTAAGTATTTATACACATCAATAATATCCTCCTTGAGCTTTCTCTTCTCCAGGGTTTTATGAGAGGTAGTAAAAAAGGAAGATTCTTACCTTCAGTGAACTGTAAAATTCATCCAACACTAAACTCATAGAACGAGTCAGGTTACTGACATAGGATGTCTCTTGATTCAGAGCATCCTGAAAAGTCTCAAAGTCTTGCATCCATTCAACTGCAAAACTATGGTCAATTATGTCGGTCTGGAAGGAGAGGAGAAAATTTTCAGAAGTAATAACGATGAATTCTTAGCCTTAGGTTGTTAACTAAACAAATAAATAATTTCTATTCTAAACTAACTTTCAAAATGCTGATCTTTTCAAAATATTCAGCCCTGGTCTGAAGTTTTCCAAGCTCTGTTTTTATCAAACAAACTACTTGAATACAGGAAGAGAAGACAGAACAACCACTACCCCAGTTTTAAGAAGGCATGATTAAGGAAACAACTGCAAGTCTAAAGGCTTCTATGGTTTACTGGGAAGGGGCATCCAAAAATTGCATACTGTACAAGAAAGTTTAAGTTGCAAATATTAGATAGTACGATGGAGGCCAGGCAAGAACATTCCTCATTGAAGATCCCATCCTTTCTTGATTGGCTTGGGGGGTCAGGGGGGAGAAGGAACCATTTCCACATTGGGTAACAACCTACAAGATCTTTATAAAAGTGAATTGTGCTCTGATCTGAAGAAGTTACAATCTAAACTCAGTGCAAGAGGATGGACACAAACAAGTGAGATGGTTCCGTAAATTTACATGGATTAGTATGCAGTCTATTAAAGTATTTTATAAACGTATCTTACCATATGTATATCCACTATTTTCATAATACAGAGGTGTCTAAAACTCTGATATATTTCATTTCCCAGCACCAATGGGAAGGAGGAAAACAGATAAAGAAAGTATTGCCTAGCATTACTCAAGAGATTTGAGACAGAACTGAATCCATCAAGGGTCAAAGCTTGACCATTTAGAGTTATCTTGATTAAATTCTATAAATCAACTCTACAAACCAAATTATTTTTTTCCTCTGCAAATCTTAACATTCCTTGAATCTATGTGTTTGCCACTGTACATGTATCAGTGCCTTGGGATTCTTCCATCCTTATCAAGAGTCAATTTTAAAATGCTTGTCAAAAATTCTTCAAATGCTGTTGGGTTCACTTTTACCAAAGGCTAAACATCAGATCAAAATGAATTTTAAAGTTATGAATCCTAAGCCTTGGGCCTAGCTTTCCTTACATATACTGATGAAGTCCCATTTCTCTCAGTCTTTCAAAAAATGTATTTTCTTGAGAGAGAATGATTTTCCTACCCCATGCCTTTTTCTACAGAAAAAACCTAGCAGGCTATTCTAAAACTGCCATCTAGAGTTAGAAAGAAAAGAGTGTACAAAAACTTGCTAAGTAAGCAAGTAGATACCAAAGACATGCATGGTTTGGGGAACTCGGAAGATGTGTGTAGTTGGAGTTCATCAGACACTAATCCTACTCGGCTGGTGTGAGGTAAAGCTTCACATTCAAAGCACGGGTTTTCTAGAGGAAGTGTACAAGACATATGTGCATGTACACACAAAGCTTGCTATCTGGGGGCAATTCCTTGAATACAAATGATGTCTGTGGGGAAAAGGAAGAGTACTCACACCAAAAATCTAATGAGACTCTTTTAATATGTGGAATTGTTATGTTTGAAGAGCCAGCTGCCTGTTAAGTTCAAAAGCATTCCTTTAAGGCTACAAGTACCTTATACAACAGTGGAGGTGTATCCTTAGGCTAGTAAGTACCTGCCTTCTGGCAAATACTGGCATAGTTTAAGTGTCACTGGTCAAGACCAAAGAGCCTTAGTTAAGTTTTGCCTGCTACAATATATGGGACTCCTTCCTCGAAACAGGCGGGTGTTACATAATTCCCACTGTGAGTCATCAGCCTGCTGCTGAGTAGAAATAATTAACGATTAAGACAATTGTTCTGAGGAAGCAGGGGACTGTAAGAGTGGCTTCAGTAATGAACTTACTCTTACGTTACAAAGTTAAGTTTCCTTTTAGCCTAGGGTTAAGGTGCAAGTAAGAATCATCACCTCTAACTTTAGCATTTGAGTGTAACTGCCCATCCCTGATTCTTCTTGTGCATTTGTGTACCAGATTAAAAACCCCTTTTATATTCTTTTTCCAGCCTGCAGCTTCCTCCCAGCCTCTCTCTTCTAGAAAATCTAGTATTGTAGTAAGACAAAGACACTATAGCAAAGCAAACTAAACATAACAATGTTCCACGAGGACATAGAAACCATAGCATTAACTTACTTTGTTCATGACAACAATGAAAGGTAGCTTTGTCTTGTAAAGGATACTGGGGGACGTAAACAAAAAAACCACAAAAAACTCCATTAAAAATTAATTTAAATCTCACTAGAATAGCAAACAAGTTAAGCATAACATTGTGCATTGCCCCAAACAGAAATCAAAGCTGGGAGGAGAATGGATCAAGAGCAGCCCT